AGGTAATGTTTTTATGTAATAAATAACAAGAAAGTCTTTTAATAAAGTGATTTAAAATTGCTACTGATGGTCCCAATGCCATCAGTATTGTAGTCTGGAGTACAAGAGTGCAAAACCTCGAAAAGTCATATTAATAATGTAGAAAAGTTCAGTCTAAGGACTAACACGTTGGTTGCTACACAAGATCCTACACAGACAAAAATCAAAAGAAGGTAAGCCTTTGTTTCTTGATAGATTTTGAGAGCATAAAGAATGACTGCTTGATTTTACTTTGAAAATGAACATCTCTACTCTCACAAAAAAGAGCAGTGTTAAAAATCAAGTGGGAATAATACCTCACATCATTTGAGACTTGTGACTAGTAAGAACAAAATCTACCACGATTAAGTTTACAATGTTCATAATGACATATACAGCATACTGAATCCAAAGCAGCAGAGGGGGCCAATCCATATGCCTGTGAAGTATCCAGCTCTCAATAATCACTCCAATTTACATGTGAGATGATCAAAATGAAAGGTTTGTGTTAGATGCTTAACAGAGACTGTACATAGGCATTTAAAGTCAGCCCAGGAAAATTGCCCAGGCTTCTACAGCCCTTCTGGCATGGTCAATGAAATGTCAGTTTACAATCAATCCTCATACCTCAGCCCTGCCACACTGCCCTAAGGTCCACACAGCAGTGATTGAACAGGCAGGAAGTTCAGGAGGTGGTCTTCTAGAGGTACACATAAAAGGCAATGTGTTTACAGGAACAAGTGATGACCACAGCTTCCATTCCGAGACATGGAACTAGGCTCTTCTGTAAAAGAAAAGCTTCATGGCTAGAATACTATGCAGATGTGGGAATATATTTCTGGGGAAAAAAAACCAAAACAAAACTAAGAAAAGAGTGAAGGAAAAAAAAAACAAAACCCTCAAACCAAAGCCAAAAAACAGTCGCCACCACCACCACCACCATAATTAAAAAAAAAAAAAAAAAAAAAACAAACCACAAACCAAAACAAACAAACAAACAAAAAAAACCCAAACCAAAACCAAAAACCAAAGCAAAGACATAATCAACTAGTGCAAACATAAGACAAACAAAGGAATTCCTGATTTTAGGCTATTCTCTAACCTAGTGGTTTGTAGCTCTTTCAAGAAACTGGAGTTTGAACCTCCTGCCAGGTCACACTGGAGAACAGTGAACCCATGTCTTCTGGGTCCTGTGTAGCCCTGTCTGGCATCGCAGCAGGTCTATGATACAGCACCTGCTTCTTCTTTCCATTGCATAGTGAGCTCAGGCACGCACTCAAGGATGTAGTTTCCCCTCCAGAAAAAGCCAAGCATTTCAAAGGTCTGTTACAACTTTGCAGTTTGACACTTCCCTCCCTATTTTAATTTAGTCCCAAGGAAATTGTTTAAGGTCAGCTTCGCAGAAGCAGGAATAGAAGTCCAGCACCAGTCTCAGATGTGGACCACACCCTGATGTTGACTGCCCAAGTATGAGTGCATCATTCAAGATCCAGGGCTTAATCCTTTCTCTTCTCCAGATGCTTCGCAGCAACTGTTGTCACTCAGGCTGGAACACAGTGTGAAGAGTGCTACATTTCAAGTACATTTCTGGACTCTTATGACTCTTGACTGCTCTTTCTTGTCTGTTTAGAAACATAGGGGGGTAACATACACCATAAATAAAACAAATGTTTTTCAAGAAGGCCTCAGGAAGATGTTCAGAAAGTCTCTTGCAGTTTATGATTCAATCTGTCTCCTCTTGAGTTTGATCTGTGTTGGCCTGTTACAATCTGTGTGGTGCTTCAGATATTTTCAGTAAGTCTTAGTAAGACAAATTCCCCCCCCCCCCAAATTTAGACTAAATTGGAGTTTTCATCCATGTTACCTGAAATTTTTTACTGATCAGAGAAGTAGTCCTAAATTGACAATGCATTGATATGGGCAAAATAGAAAGGGGTTACTCTGAATATGGATAGTCAGAAATCACAAGGTTATGTAAATAGAGAACTCACATGAAATTTGAGTCTCAGAGTCAAGGGAGAGATTTTATCTTTTACACTTATAATTAATTTCTAGCCTCATTAAGCACACAAAAATATATGCTTGCCTTTCTTTCTACCTAAATGTACAAGAGTCTCAGAAAATTATACTGGTAAACAGGAACAATGACAAGTCTTGATTCTGGTATAAAGAGAAAGGAACAAAAGCAAGGTCATGAAAAATTGTAGAAGCAAGCATTGAATACCTGAAGGGAATAATTCATGGGAAGTTAATGAGTACCCAATATGAGACTGAGCAGGAAAGCAACAGAGTCAGAGACCTTTGGAGGAAAAGCAGCAAATGTAAACAAGGAGAACACAAAATGAAATAGGGTGTTGACAACAGGCAAATAAAAATTCAGATTATTAGAAAATTAGGAGAACTGAAATGAGCAATCAGATGCAGGAAGGCAGGAAAGAAAAAAAAAAAAAGGCCAAAAGAGTAATGAATAATTTCAAAAAATAATGCACTATTGAAAAAGAACAATAACGTGATATACAAATCTTGGCAGCTTGTCAAATTTTAATTATCATTTCAATTACTATTTAGGTCTTCTCATTGATTCAATGAGGAGACAAACTTTCAAGAGTTTTAATGTTATCTTTTTTGTCAACCTCTATGATCCGTCCATCACAGTGAAGAACCAGAATCCCATCAAAGAGCAGAATAGGACATTTGCTACAAGACAATCTCTGTCCCTTAATACTACAGAAAACCTGAGTAAACATCTATCCTAAATGAAGAACAAGGCAGATATTTCAATTACATCAGTGGAATACGATTTTACATGTGTTTTTGACAAATAAGCCTTTCTGAGAAAGCAGTCTGTCTTAAATGGAAATTAATTTTTTTTTTGTAGTTTTGATTGGAATAATTACTTAAGCATATGAGCATCAAAGAGAAGGCAGCTGATGACCATTAGCAGGCACACATGATGCACAGGAGTGGTACCTGCACATGATCATACCAAGTGCATCTGCATTTCTTTTTAACTGCTACCAAGCTGATTTCCTTTTAATCAAATAAGAGAGAGAAAGACACTGCCTGGCCCAAAGCCAGCATTACCACTTCCAGGCCACCTTCTCTCCCTCCTCTGTAGGCATCAACACTGGAACATAGGGAGGGCATTAGGAAAGCCAGGAATTTCCCCTGAAGCCTTGAAAGGAATAGCAGTACCTAGAGCAGGACAAAACTCCTACAGTTACTGCTGGAAACTAATGCCGGGCCCAAAGTGCAAAGAAAGGTACCTGGAACTTTGTTCTTGCTCCTTTAGGGATAGTACACAGAACATGTTGTTATTTACAAGCCACAGAGAAAAATCCAGTTGCACTCCTTTCCTTTATGATGGCTTTCAACTATGTATGTTAAATCTTAAAAATTATATAAATTAAGGTGCATTACCCAGGGGAACATTAATTCATTTTTGTGTTACTGCTTTTCCTAAAATACTTCAATAGGTATTCATTTCAGATTGAGCCTTAAATCTTTTTGCCCGAATTCAGTGGGAATACTTGTGCAATACATGTCTTAGTGAAATAACGTGCATTAAAAACTGCCCCGCTGTCAGTCATGAATCTTGCATGAGACTCAATATATATACAGTAGTGCTTACTCTGGAGCAACCTGGGAAGGCATCTTTTATCTCTTCTTTGATTTTAATGTATCTGACATAAATAAAAATGCTTTTTCAGAACAGCTGTTGTTATAGATTAGGTATAATTAATATGATGTTGAAAATGGAAAAAATCTGAATTAAACTGATTCTGTACATCTAGGGAACTCTGATAAAGTAAAAACTCGGGTTCACAGTTTTGTGAGAACAGAAAGTTTTCTGTATATTGGAGATGGACACAAAGTGCACTAGAGCAAACAGAAAGATTAATTGCTGTACTCTAAAATAAGCTAAGTCCAAAAAAGACATGCACTGACTTCTGTCCTCATGGTCACTAAAAGGCAAGAACAAATTTTACAGATTTTACAGAACAACACTGGGTTTGAATCGGGTCAGAGTATCTGAAATTTTGCTGGAAATGAGAGAAAAGTTCAAAGGCAAGCAAACTTCCATTTTTGCAGCAGAGAAGACAGCAGTGAGAAAATTAATCTTGTGCATTAATCTTAGCATTCCTCACAAGTGACTCAGGCCTGCAGAAGAAAACATTCCCACTATCTGGTTAGAAAACGTCATGTTTCCCATGTGGAAGAGAGGAGAGGAGCTCAAGCAGTGCTGTTTTTACTACTTTCACCCTGATTAATTTGCTTGCAGACCCTTCTGCTGCTCAGAGTCCCAAACTGTTAAGGAAAATAGTTCCCATTTACCAACAAAAATTAAATTAGTCCTCATGTGTATAATAAGCTTGAGTCAGAGCATTTCTAAACAATTATTTAACTATTTATAATTAATTATAATAGTCCTTGGTAAAAACATCTTAGAACGACAATCAGCAGCAAAATAGAAGATAGGCTAATAAACTCCATGGCAATATCTGTTTACACACAAGAGCTATAAAAACATTAAGTGGTGACATGCATAAAAAAGAGCCCATTGAGCAATGAAGAGTAAAAAACACCCTTGGAGAGCTGGAGAAGTCAGAGAGGTCAGAAAGCTACCTCCAGCACCTGACCCTCCATCACTTCTTGTGTCTGAGCCACATGTCTTGTTTAGAAGTGAAATCCCAATTCTGTCAGAAGCACTGATGACCACACACAGTTCTTATGCACCTCCACAAAAGCCGGTACAGTTACCAACTGGGAAAAAACTACATTTTTGCAAAATGGTTTGCAAAAAGGACAGTCAGTCTTGATATTTTGCTCTTAAACCCTCGAAGCTTGCAACAGAAACCAGAGCACCCCACTGGGAAGGGCAGTTACAACCGACCACTTCCAGAACCGCCTGCGCGCGGAGCGAGCAGCTCCTCAGACCGACCCCAAAGGAGCAGCAGATGCCTACGTCCCAACTTACATCACTTCAGAGTGCTGAATGGCTACACTCAACATCTAGAACAGGCCTGTATCATGCCAACTCTAGGCCTGCTCACCCTCCTCAGGCCACAAGTGCCAGCATGGAAATTGCGACACACAGAAGAGTGAGCAGGAGGCCAGTTGCATCAGAGGTGGGTGCCCAGGGTGCCTGCCCCAGGATCCTCCACCTCACCCAGGGTGAGGTGTTCCTCAGCATCACCAGCTCTCACCCACATCCTGCAGGACTCAAGAGAGACTCCAGGTGGATTTGAAGATTGGATTGGCAGGACAAGCAGCTGAGCACTGAAACCTAATTTACTGTCTTGATAAAACATATGGGACAGCAAGACAGAGGACTCAAAAATACTTCCAGTTGAAACAGGTAAAACCCACCAAATCTTAACCGCTTGCAAAACAAGAAGGAATCAATGTGAAACAATTAAACTATACAGAACATTTATACAGATTGCTATTTACGAATCTTAAAAGTATTTCCCATACATTTATTCAACTGAGCTTCTGATTTGTTTTGTATTTGTGTGACATGAAGGTTCAATTCAGAATGATTTTTCTCTATTTTTATTTACACATGGGAACCATTTACGATTCCAAAGCAATTTTTTACTGTGTCTCTTCAGTTTGAACTGAATAGTTTTTCTGTACCAGCTTAGGTCTTTCAGTTATTGCTTTTTCACAATACAATATACTGAAAAAGGATTGAGACTGTTGAAAATAATTCTATTGGCAAGCAAGAAAGGCAAATTACTAAGGGCAAATATTTCAAGTTTTTAAAGTCAAGTCCTCCTATTACAAATTCTATGTCCAACTCTCTTCCACTTTTCTTTATTAAATATTTTATTATATTCTACCAGACAGAAATGTTGTACAAGGACATAAAATATGCTTTAAATGTTTTCCCTCTCTCTCTCTCTGTATCTTGCACGTAGGTCAGTTGTCCCACTTCACAGCTTAGCTGAAAATCTGTAATTAAAAAATTGAGGAAAAATACATTTGAAGAATGCCACAATAAAACATGGAAATTTTTACTGTTTCAGTGAAACTCAAGGAGTTTTTCCACTTGTCACGCTATGGTAAGGGATGTAAGAAAAAAAGGATTTAATTCAAGTTATTAACAGATTTTTCCATTTCTCTCCTGTATCTCACTGTGGTTTACAACATCCTTAGTCATGTTTGAGTTTTTTGTTGTTAGAGGAGTGGTTTTTTTGGTTGCTTTTGAGTTTGGCACAGACAAAAATGAAGTGCCTCCAAGTCATGACCTATTAGAAGTTTTTATATGAAAAAATAAAATAAAAGCTTATTACTAGCTAAGTGTTCACTTTAATCTGTCAACAACTTACAAAAAAAAGATGAGAGTGCAACAGCATAAAGAATTATATCAACTACATTTGACTGATGAGTTTCCAAGGTGATTTTAAAAATTAATACTTTAAGAAAATGCATATGTTAGAGACTTTGTAGTACATACATGAAAATGAGACTATAGCAGTTATTCCAAGACAGAATACAACACAGGAAGGTGGTACTTATGTTCTTATAACAAAGTTATGGACTTCAACAACTTCTTTCCCCTCCTGTCTGACACTTAACAATTCACCAAAAGGAACACTAAGTAGGCATCCTCCACACTTACTCATTTTTTCATCCATCCATAGCCCACTAATTATCGTAATCTGCATACATGCTAATATTCATATTGACTAACTTGTTATAAGCACCTTTCATACATACACCGTACGTTGATGTAAACTTCGGGAAGGATTAAAAAAAAAACTTTATAAAGAAATGTACTGACTAATTTAATCAATGTCTGACAGCTTCACTAAAAGATTTCACTGGAAAAATACAATCCAACAATAGAAATCCTAAACCTAGTTAACATTAGCACAGTAGGGTAGAAACAGCAGATATTTGTTTTGTATGGAGTGACTGCTGTTCTAATGCTTTAGAGCATCTCAACCATATAAGAAAGGCCATCTCTCAAAGTCACTCACATTCATCACCTACAAAAACAGTAATAAAGAAAGCTGTTGATCTCTAATAACTGAAACAAGGAGAATGCCAGACATTCTCAAAATCAACAGAAAAACAGGGGAACTCAAATTACCAAGAAGTGAAGTAACATGCCACAAAAGCCAGTAAAAGAGAAGGAAGAACACACAGTTATACTGACATGTTATATTGGCCTCAGAATGCAAGATTCTACCTCAAAAAAGTCAAAAAGTTTAAGTTAGGACAACTATAATTTAAGATTTGTCATAATGCCATTATTCTCTGTAAAAAAAAAATTAAATTCTGGGATTTCTTTGATCCCTATTTTAAACAACAAGCTAGAATGCAGAGAACTGTAAATGTCAAAAAAGCAATCCCTATATAGGTTCAGATCTTAAAATACAAATTTTTAAAAGAGCTCTTCAGGTATATTTCATGCTTTCAGTTTGGTTAGTAAGATACTGAAAGCTTAAGAGTAGAAATACTCTGCTGAAGGCAGTGGGACTACACAAACTGAATTCAGTCACACAGGATTTTACCTTAATCTTTAATGCTGATTCTCCAAAACTGGCCATGTAACTACCTTCATGGTAGACAAAGAAGAAAAACATAACACACATCCTTTATGACTGTACTTAACCATTACTCACTTCTTTCATTCAATTAAGATTTACTTCTTGATCTACAAAATCTTCGGGTCGCCTGTCAAAACATGACCTATTTTCTCAACTGCTTATTATTATTAAAGATCTTCCTCAGGAGTCATTTGACCTGCCCCTCATTGATCTTGTCCCTTTCCCTACAATACTTGTCTTCTAATCCACCTAATCTGCCTGGATGAACTCTACATTGTCCCTTCCCCATTTCCTCCCCTTAGACTTCCTGACTCTCTTCAGTGTATCTTCTTCCTCACTTTTTTTTATGTCCATACTGTATCCTAGCAATGCATTAACAAAAAAGGACAATGACTGTGAATACAGGTGCATTAATCTCTCAACCAACCCCATTACTACATTGCTTTGCCTGCTTCTACTCTTACTCAAACAGCATTCATTAGTAGTTGTCTGATTCCTTCTGAGCTTGAAACATTGGCAGATCAGGCAGCTGCTGCAGCATTGCCACTGGGTAAACTCTGTGACAAGACTACAGCTGAGAAGACTCTGCTCACACAGCAACTCCACAACGAATATGAACTACATTTCCCTTTAGTGGCAAAAGAACAAGCCATTTTTTGTCTATCATGGAGTAAGAGCATTTGTAATGCTCAGAAACTTAACAGGCGATACGCAGCAAACTAACATTTACCTTGATGTAACTTGCTTACATTTCCAAAATGTAAACTCTTTGGGAAAGCTGTTTTAAGTCTTGCTGTCCCATCAGGTATCTTCAGAGTATATATATTCTCCCACTATTAGCTGCTCTACATAGTCAGAGAAATGCAGAGGAACATTATTGCAAGTGACAATCAAGCCTTTTAAGCTATATGTAATAGAAAATGTGGCAGAACATATCCACATGATAAAAAAATCCTCCATCTGAGTAAGAGTCCGTGAAACCTCTCTAAAAGCCCTGTTTCTGATATTTATTTTAACCTTGCAGAATTTTGGTGGGGTTTTTTTATATGAAGGAGACTAAAAATTAAATATTCTTCTCTTATAAATAACGCAATAGAACCACATTGTACATACACTGTAAAGCAACTAAGGATGTTTAATCGCTTTTTTCCTAGGATTCTCCCGTAATTTGACATTTCAAAAGTTGTACAGCACATCAGCAAAAATAATGCACTGATGTGAATATTCTGACAGAAACACAGACATCTGCCACTGCCACATGGAAAGTAATTTTTAAACAAATAAAAAGCTACAAGGTCAAAAAGAACATTTAACCACAAAACTATAATTTATTTTCTAATACATCTTCATATGTGGTAACTAGTCCCTGTCTCTTACTGTTGAGAAGGTATTAGACAACTTGGCAACTAGATGACAATAAAACAAAATTTAAAAAGGTCTGCAGATGTTCAACCCTGTATAGGCCTGAGCATGTGAAAGGTGAGAGGTTCCCCAGATGCTTAATGCTTAACAAGAACTTTCCATATCTCCTGAGACCAAGCCTTAAAGAGTTTTTTTATTTTTTGGTGCCCGCCCGTTTAATATAAACTTATCTCCTTGATTATGTGTATTCTGGGAAATGAGAGCAGTGTACTGTTTTTGAATAAATCTCTACCTTTTCAAGCCACACAGCTCTTGATACCTTTTTAGCCATATACTCCTACCGCTCACTTTGCATGAATTAATGTGACTTTCCCGTAAAAGCTGGCTTTAACATCATAAATAACTGACAAGTGTTAAATAAACTCCTCGGAAAGGAAAGCTCAGGATGAGATGGAGACTCCCTGCAGGCACCCCACCTGGCAGCAAGAAAGCAGAGGCCACCGCAGCTGCTAGTCCACACCACCCCAAAGCTTACTGGGACATTCCAAGGCATCAGCTCTTGTAAATATTTTGAATGTTGCATTCACGAGGAACATAACTGGGCAAACTGAGTGCACCAGCAGTATGGAAGTTACTCTGAGAAGATGCAGGTTTTATTAGAGACAATGCTTTCAGCTTCCCTGCTCATGAAAAACCCAGGGCTAGCATATAGCCAAATTTTCACTGGTTTTCTCTCATTTTTTCAGGTGACAGAGCAACACATGTGTAGCACATCCTAAAAATAAGGCAGAAGACAAGCAGTTTACAAGCACTTCTGACAGCACTAGCCTAATACGCCTGTGGTCATCCCTAAGCTTCCCTCAAACTGTACCAAAGTAGGTCATCCACTTTTTCTCTTGAGCAAGTGCAGCAGCTTCAGACCAACTATATTTTTCTGCCCTTCTCACTCCTCTCAGGTTGTGCTTTACATTTGCTCTTACATACCACTGTCTGCCATTTTCCTTAGCCTGCTATCTATCCTTGGTGCCTTTACACCATACATCAGTACATCAGCCCTTTCACTTCCACTCGTGTGGTGCCATCTCACTGTATCTGTGTGGAAACCTACCGTGCCATGGCTGCCTAAACCCTTACATGTATGCAACCCTGCTGAGGGCAGGAGGAGATCAGGGGGCCTGAAGGGAACCATCAAGGACTGCTCTAAAAGACGATTAAGCAACACACATTTCCAGCATAGCGGCTCTGTGCGTGCATTCACCAGGTCCAGGGAGATAACACATCTGAGGAAGATGGAGTCTCCTTTGGCCGGGGAGGCCGTCTGGAGGACGAATTACAGGGCAAGGACAGGACTCTCCCTCAGCACTGGGCCTCTGCCAAGGCAATGAGATGAAAGGACTTGACCTCTGAAACTTGCCCAAGGATTAAATGAGCTTCTTCACATTGCGTACGAATGCAACTGTTTTGATTGTGGTTTGCCATCCTACTAGACTGTAATAAGAGTTTTTCTCTCAGCATAAACCAATTACATCAACAGTCCAAGGCGTTGTGGGACAGCATGTACACGCACACTTCCTCCATGAGCATCTCCCCTGTGTGACACACAACCATCGCACCAACCACTCTTTTTAACAGGGAGGATCAACCCTCCTGGCCTACAGGCAGGGCAGGCCATCACAAGGCAGATCCTTGCTGGATACCATCATGGTGCTCAGTCAGGTCAATATAAAAAGAGACAGTCTTATTACATGTAAAAATTTAGTACGAGAAAAATCCTTCAAATATGTCTTTAAAATAACCTCATTCTCTTCCCTAACATGGCTGTCATCAGTGGAGTCTTCTCAACGTCTAATGTGAAGATGACAAAGGGCTCCAATACTTTTACAAAAGAAAATAAAGGTGCATGAGGAGAGTTATTTTGTAGCTTCTAATAATATTTTAAGTAATGGAGAGTTAAAAGCAGATACGAAAATACCAATTGATAAAAATGCAGCACTTTCTGAAGAACAAGTACTGATTACCTTAAATGACAACAGATGGGTCTGATATCTTCACCCAAGGTAACAAGGTACAAGAAGAGAGCATTTCACCTTTTCAGCACCTACCTCAAACACTACAGTCAGTTACACTAACAAAAATTTATATTGCCATCAGACACTCAACAACGGGCTTCTGTTGTGCTAGGTTCCCACCTCAGAAATGTCTCAGGAGGGAGTTACCCCTCTCACTCGTACCACGGCAGGAGACATGCAAGAACAGCGGCACACACTTGTCCATTTACCACACATAAAGTACATGCTACCTCCTGCCCCTCAAAGGCCCCACGCCTTACTTCTCAGTAGTACCAGCCAAGGCAATTCCTAAAGCAGAATCTGATAAAATCTGAAAGAAGTAGCTTCTACCATCTGGATGATTTAACTGATCTATGCTAGAACGGCCTGTCTGTCACTGAACCTGGGCCTGTTATAATCACATACACTGCCAGGGATAAGAGGATTTTGTGTACATGACAATCAGCTTGGTAACCTTGACTGAGACAGTGAGGGAACCGTAGGGAACAAAAAAAGGTATAAAGTCTTCTGTAAAGATAAAGTGGAAGAGTTAATATGTCATCTCTAATATTCATTTCATCCTACTGATGAAGAGTTTCTCTGATGGACTGGGGAACACAGTCACAGACTCCAGAGAGCAGCTCCCCAAAAGGGACAGACCTAGTAGCTTTCCATTTTAAATTCCAAGAGGACACTGGCACTGTGAGCTTCCAAATACCCAGTGGGATGTTTGTGTTTAGCAATACAACAAAACATTAATGCCTCCCAAACACTAACAATGTGACACTTCTTGCTACTGACAGTCAAACAAACTCACTCTTTCCCAGTTAGAAAGTATTATTAAATCCTAGCTCCTAAGAATTAAAGGACAGACAGGTACACAGGTACTTAATTCAGTCAAGATCTTTTAGGGATTCTTCTACTGAGGAGTATTAGCAGTTCAGTCCAAAAACTTCGTGCACATCACATAAGATGAATACTGCTCACAGTGAGTAGAAACAGCCACTGTTACAAAAGGAGACTCCCAAATCATTAATCATTTCCACAACAGCATACATAGTCCAGGCACATTCCTTATTCTTGCACACCTCCAAGAGCATACATTCACAGTCCAAAGGAAAGCTACAAAGCAATGACAAATCACCTCACACTATAAACACAAATATTTGGCTAACTGACTGGTTCTGAGAAGCATCCAAAATAACAGAAAAGTCATTTTCTCTTTTCTGCTAAGAAGTTCAGCCCTCTTCTTCTTCTTCTTCCCCCTTTCCTTTCACGGACTGAAGATGGTTGGTCCAGCTGGTTTTATCTCAGTGACTTCAGAACTGGTTCATTCTCTTGCAACAGTTGCTCTCTTCTTCCCTACAGGTAAGGTATGGCTCATCACAACAGCCTGTGGCTGGAAGATACTACCAGTCTTCCACGGGACCTTACTACCAATATAAATACTTTTTAACTCTCATTTCAAAGTCTATCAGGTTTTTCAGTCAAACTTATTTTTCCAGAAGTTATCAAATAAGCATTTCTCTGTTCTATTCCTTATTTAGTAGCTACCATGTAAGACCACTTGTTGAAGAACACCTAAAGGCAAGTTTAATTCTTCAGTGTTCTGGTGAACGTGTGGAGCAAACCAAGTAACTGCTTTGGAATTTTCATCCTCCAAGGCATCCTTGCAAGGCAACATGCATTTTTCAGGATGACACTAACACTGAGCCTAAAAATGATAAATCCTTTTAAATGCTGTACATCTTTGGGATAAAAAAATATCTACTGTCAGCAAGTCAAAGGGAGGGGGAGTTTTACATAGGACTTTCATACTCATTTATTTACCTTGGCTTCAAATACAGAAGTAATATTAGATATTTTCATCACTGATACAAGGTCATACAATTTAAAAAAAAAAAAAAAAGAAAAAATCTAATTGTTCTTTTGACATCTTCAGGCTGGGCTTCAAGGCTTCAGTACTTTTGAGTGTTTGCCTATTAAAGCAATTAATTCTTTCATGTATTGGCATTATATGGATATTAAGTTTTCCTTCCTTAGAGGAAGAAAAGTGTTAACTGGATAACCAGGATTATAATTTTGGCAGTCTTATGCATTCAGAAAGATAGAATTGCATCTTTACATCTGACAAAAAAAATACTTAATGCCTTTACAAAATTATTGTGGTGTAAAGTTGTGATGAAAATGTTAGGGGTCTTTGACTTCCTTGCTTTTGTTTCAAAACATTATTCCTGTTTGATAAAGATTTTGCAAGATGCATTAAGTCCACATGCAGAACTTCTTGGTCCTGAACCATGCATAAAGCTTTCCAGCTTCTTTAATTTCATACACATGAAAACTCAAGGAGTGGTGACTTGCAAACCAGTATAACTAAAATAGGAACCCAAGACTAGTGACAGGTACCATGTCTGCTCCTGAATCTTACTGTTTTGTTGGTTTACATCCAAGGTTTTTCCTTAATGTGAGTGAAAGATCCACACTAAAAGAGAGAAGGCTTGCATCTACAAACCACTCAGGGAAAGTGGGTATGTAATAATAACAGATCTACACTGGCTTTTGAGGATAAGAGCAATTCTCTCTGTGCCAAAACCTTTCAGATGCCAGCTCACATTTTGGTGTAAGGTAGAGACATGGAGCTACCAACAACAGAGAAAACTTAATGCAGAACCAAGCTCATGTATTTCTGTCCACACTGTGTGAACAAACTGAGCACATGGTATTGGTTCCCCCCCGGGACCATGTTTCCCAGCAGACCACTGCAGTTATGTCAAGCAGCCATCATAACGTTCACAAGCCAGCTACAGTTGTCAAATGCTGCAGAGTTAATGGGCATGCAGACTGCCTGTGGTACCTGCAGGACAGGGCAGGCATGCTGCACAGAGGTACACAAACCTAATGACAAGGTCACCTCTCAGGCCCACATCACATCCAACCTGCCAGACCTCTAGGGAAATTTGGGCGTAACACCAGAACTGCCCAGCATACAAGCCAAATATAGCAGGGCCACCAAGCTGGAAAACAACTTTGCAGAAGAGTTCCTGGTTCTGAAATTGCAGTGCATCCTCATAGAAAAGAAGGCCATCAGCTTCCTAGGCTGTATAAGCTGCATTAGAAAAAATGTCACCAGCAGGTTAAGGGAGAGGATCCTTCCCCTCTGCTCAGTATGGCTGAGGCATACTTGGAATGCAGGGTCAAGCTCTGGAGAGACAGTACAAGAGACAGGGACTGCAGCAGGTTCTCAAGCATGACTAAGGAATAGGAGCATCTCTCTTAGAAGGGAAGGCTGAAAGAGCTGGAGAGCACACGCCTTAGGGGAGTCTTATCCATGTGTAGAAATACGTGACTGGGGGGGAGAAATAAAGACTCTTCTCTGTAGTGCCCATTCACCAGACAAGAGACAGTGGACATAGACTGAAATTCCACTTAAATATAAGAAGACACTTTACAGAGAGGGTGGTCAAACACTGGCACTGGATGCCCACACAGGCTGTGTAGTCTCTGTCCACAAAGATAGCCATAACACAACTGGACACAGCCCTGAGCAACAGCTGACCCTGCTCTGAGCAGGGGTTGGACTAGTCTATCTCCAGGGGTACCCTTCCAATCTTAACTATTCTCCATAGCTGTAAAAATGAAGAGAAAAAAAACAGATAACTTCTAATCTTTCCGTGGTAAAAGTCATATTAGACAGCACTCGTAAAACTAGCAAGAATGCATATACAGAAGTATGGCTTTTTTAACTGACAGTGTCATTCATTGAAGCTTATCAGTAGACCCAAGAGAGTTATTACTTTTCATTCTCCAACTTTCACAGAAGAAATAAAAACTGTTTTAACCCCATAAAACTTCTTCCGTCAGATAAACAGAAACTTATCTACAGTAGTTTACCAATCAGCTGAGAAAATAAGTGGCAAAATAGTATTTAAAAAAACAAATTAGTACATAATGCTATTTTCCCCAAACCTTCACCGCCAGTCTTCAATTTGAGGGCTTATTAACATTCTAATTAGTACATGTTGAAATAAAAAGTACCTATTGTGATAAATAATTACATCTCACAGAATATTCATAGTTTTTATGAAAACAAATTTCTTCATAATTCAAAATGATAGCACAGTCTTTTTCACTATGCAGCACATGAAAGCATGACGGTTGCACGCTTATACTTCATCTAAATGCGGCCAATGAAAACCAACGCCAAAATCAAGAGTTCTCCTTTAGAGGATAAATAAAAAAAATAAGTAAGAAAGGATGTAATAAAAACATTTGTCTGAGTAACTCATTACCAAACTACCCAAGAAATTAACACGCTAATAAACCTTTCAGTTTAAAAATAAAAAAAAAAATGCATCACACTTAGAATTTACTTTACCTATTTCATGCCATTGAGGAGGCT